AGTGTGCCAAGTACATGCAGGACCTAATCGAGTAAGTACGCCCGCCGTTGCTTTTCACGCCCCGTGTGGCGAATCAACTTCGATGTTAAATTTCTTGGTCGCATGTTCGAAAACTTTCGTCCTCTCGCTGGGCAAAGACTAAGAGCTAAGTCGAACCCTGACCTGTCCTTTCAGTAGAGACAACCGCAGATTCGAAAGCCTAACCCCCACTTGGATGACGCCGCTGCTGTTTACCCTAACCCCCAAGGGACAAGACTAAGTGGGCATTCTCATGTCGGCCGACGGTTATGACCCTCGGCATGGCCGCGACCCAGCGCACAGAGGGCTTATTCGGGATTGCTAAACGAGCTGGAGTAGAGAAAAATCTTTCCCTGTGCGCTCTTTGGGAGAAGCTTCAAAGTGTGAACAAGTCTCTGGAGGTAGAATCTGCCAGGCGAGTATCGCACGACGCACTAGCGCCATGAAGTTTCTACGGGCATCGCTCATAGTCGTGTCGATGGGAACGTACGCAGTTGACCCATGTCGCCATCAGCGAAGGCCATGATGTGTCCACAACAACTTTGCTCCGATGTCGAATGAAGTTAGTCCTGCGCTTCGGCCAACAACATGCTTCATCCACCCCATGCTTCACCTCCCTAACCTCGTCCGTGCAGGTTGGGAACGCCAGCTATTGCAGCAGTGAGGCCATTCCAGGTTGCGCACCTGGATAAGTTTTTCGGCCCCGTGATAGTGGAGCTCGAGCGCGTTGGCGCTAGCGAGTTCTGCCAACGGGTGAGCAGAATGCCGCGCTTGCCATAGTGCCTCGCCACTGGTGGACGTGCACTCTATCCGAGAAGCGCATGGACGTGCACTCTCGTCGAGAAGCGCATACAGCGGGCTCAACGATGCGTGTTAAGCTTGTGCTCCGCTTTCGTAACTATGCGTGCTGAAAAACATTCCGCACCCCGTCGGTCCCAACCCGTCCTCCACTTTTCGCTTTCCGTAGGATGTTAGAGACGAGCTAGGAGGTTCGCAGTCGTATGATGTGGAGATCATAGCTTCTGGCGCCGCGGGTAACGACAGCAGCCCGCTTCCCCTTGGCGACGACCGCCTTCGTCAAGCTGTCCACGGCGCTCAGCAGAACCGCAACGCGTTCCAGGAAGCGCCACCTCTAATTGACCTGGAACAAGACGGCAAGCACGGATCGTACACCCAGACGACAGAGGGCACGACTCCTTGGGCGCGTACGTCGTCGTCAACGTTCTTGGAGCTCCTCGGCAACGTGCCCATCCACCTTGCCGTTCTCGTTCGGTACCAGCTCACGCGCACCAAACAAAGCCACATCATTGTGTTCGGGCCTAACAACTTCCACTTGTGCTCCTGCTTGAAGCTTTTACGTCTTGGACTACCCTGCAGGCACTACTTCGCCGCGCTACTTCGCTTTCTCGGCGGCGTGTATCGGGGAATTAGGCACGACTTCCACGGTAGTTCCGTGCACAACCGTTGGAGGAAGTCGCCAGGTGGCAACGACGACCCGTGGAGCGTTTCTAGTGTCCTGCAACAGGCTGGACTCGGAAAGGGCTGGGACGGCAGGGACGAGGGACTGGACGACAACTACGAAGGACCCACGTTCGACGACGATTACGGTGGAGAAGGTGTTCACCCCGCAGAACGTGAAGGGCGAGCCACAGAGCGAAAAGCGTGCGACCAACGNGTGAAGAAGGTGTTCACCTCGCAGAACGTGAAGGGCGAGCCACAGAGCGAAAAGCGTGCGACCAACGCCGAGTGTTCGCGACTATGATGGCGAAGAGCAAGGAGAACGTCGGCGAGATCTTGAAGGCTGTTCCGTTCGCCAAAGCGCTTGACATCCAGGCCCAAGTTGACAAGTACGTCAGGTACCTCTTGGCCGACTCGGACGGTGACACCAAGACCAAGAACCCAGCCCAGGTAAAGCCACCAGGTCGGCCGAAGGGGCAGGCCGCCAGGTCTCCAACCACCGTGTCTAATCCTCGTGCTCGAAAGGACAACACCAAGAGGAAAGCACGGATGAAAGGCTGCGAGGAGGGGAGCAAGNTACAAACAGGAAAACACGGATGAAAGGCAGCGAGGAGGGGAGCAAGAGCAAGAAGAAGATCAAGCAGGAAAAAGACACGTGAAAT